AAATGTCATCTTTATTGATCCTGAGGCTGACTGTTTGGAATGGTGATCCCTCACCACTGAATTGTTTAAACAATAGTGTATTAGTATGCACATAAAAATACAGTCAATCAGTTCTCAAGATCTATAAAAGAGAAAACGCATTAACTTTTTAAAAAAAATTCTGCATGGCAGCATCTGAAAATCGAAAATCAAGTGCAGCGTCTTGATTCAGAGATTTTAAATCTGATAAAGTGGTGCCACATTATTTGTTTTCAAGCTTGAGGACTTAGCCTCCGCATATAGGTTTTCTATTATCTATGGTTAAAATGCAATAAGTATAGATAATTAAGCATTTATATTAATGGACTTTCAAAAGGTGAACTGAAGGAATTGTTTGCCTGAACTGATCTAACAGAGGGGAGGACAGCTAATATTGCTGCATTTGGTCCGGCTCTGTTGGTTTTTCTTCTATTATTGCTGTTAACCAATTTCAGAGTGGATGAAGCTGGAAGTTTGTAAATAGATTATTATCTGAAAGGCAATTTTATTTCACTGGAAATGACTTTATTATGTGGAGAAGAGTAAAAATGTAATTTGGATCCCTGTCCAGATGCTCTTAGTCTGGTAGCAGAGAATGGTTTTATTTGTTAATTTGTCCTTTTAGAGTTTCTGTAGCCAGTCTTTAAATAGAGCAATTTAGCATTTTGGGGAAAAACTAACTCTGTACCATCCAAGAATATAATTGAAAATTACCCCATACCCTTGCACAATAATTACCTTTCAAAACATTTCCCATTGCTTGACATCATAGTGGTAATTGCTTAATGATATTATAATTTCATTATGTAGGGATTACAATGGCTTAAAATGATGTAAATTGGAGGCTTTGAAAATTAAGTTATAATGAAAACAAAACCTTTTATGCAAGTTTAAAGCACTTATTTCAATGTAAAATTATACATAATGTCACCCAATTTTTATACGAGTGTCACTGTTGGTTGAGTTTTAAAATTCATCCATTTAAAGCTTTAGTACTAAAAACCACAAAACCTGCTTTAGTCCCATGGTTATAATGCATGAGGTTCCAGTTTTATAGTGATATGTATTGGAACGAATGCATTTATATAGCAGTTACTGCTTCAGTTTGTATGCATTATGTAGCAAAACCCCTACTAATGAATTGGTTCCACCTCGATCCCTTTGCAGTTGGGTGATAAAGACCCATGGCCCATTACAACTGTTATTTTCATCTAGAAAGATTCCTGACTGGTCGTGAATGTATTGAGTTTCCTAACTTAATAGCGCCGGCTTAAATTTTTATCTTTTTGGAAAGTACCAGCACCAAGTGCGCTAAGCAGTTATACGGCATGTAACTTACATGCCAGAGGTCAGAATTTCCCCCACTGTGTGGCTGGAGTAAAAATGAAGCATTGGACAGCAGACCCCCGAGATAGGTTGACTTGTAATCATTTACCTCAGTGATACATGATTTTAACATTACACCTGATGGAAAAATTCATTTTACTTTTTGAAAAATATGTGATTTTTGGTTTAAGAACTCTTTCTACTTAAAGATGAATTCATGATAATGTCCTTTATGAAACTAGTTGGGGGCTTTGTATTTCATTCAAATCCACTATTTTTTTTTTCTCTTGGTAGTGAAAAATCAAACAGGTATAGTTTTGGGATGGGGAATAAGGTATAAGTGGACATAGCCCTTTTGTGTCTAACTCAGGTATCTTCCATTTTTCATGATGACAATTATATCAACAACATTTATTGAGTATTCACTGTGTGTGTGGAGAGTTACTAAGTATCTTACTTAGTTCTCATAGGTACTATCACAGGTGGTATTACTATCCTCCCATGAGAAGACTAAGGCTCAGAGTGCTGAATTTTCCCAATGTCCCACAGCTATACAAAGTGGTAGAATGGGATTTGGACCCCGGTCTCTCTGACTCCACTGACTCAGTATCATGCTGCCCATCTCTATGAAGCCTTATCTTAGGACACTAAGCTTTATCAGTGTTTCTGTTCTGAGTGACTAAGCAATTTAGAGCCTGTAGTTCATGATTTATTTCAAGATTGTCATTATCCTTAATAGTAACAGTAACGATCATTTGTTGACCACTGCTATGTGCGCTGTGCTATGCATATTATCCAGGGTCTAGTTTCATCTTCCACAAAACCCTATGAAACAGGCATTGTTATTCTCATTTGGTAAATAAGGAAAGGAGGGGCCAGTGAGGCAAAATAACCCATAACTGCCTGAAGGTCATTTGGGTAGGCAGCGGCCAAGCTCCCCTCTGTCCCGTCTGCCAGATCCTAGGGCCCAGGGCTCTCTTGGCCACTCTGCAGTTGCCTCTCCCATCCCCCCTCATTAATCTTTACTAGCTGCTTTTGTTTTGTGTGTGAATGTCACATCCACACCTAGACATGGTACAGATTTAATAGACATCTTCACGTAGCAGGTACACTTAAGTTACTTATTGGTTCTGTTCTCTGAAGAAGCCTAAATAAGAAAGGGATGATGGATTGAATATGTGAAGGTAAAGGACATGCACGCCCTCCCTTTGAGGTGCAAAAGTGCCCTAAAAGGGGGTCATCTTCCATGAGAAACAGTCACTTGAAAAGCATTCCCAACCTCTCCTACTTAAAGGAAGAAGGTGGGGGCAGGACCCTGGGGACCACTCTTGAGGTAACAATAGAAAGTAAAGGAAAGGCAGCCTGCTTTCTCTGATTTCCTATTCTTAATTAGAAACTGTGCAGGGTGCTCAGGTCAGCTACCACCATTAACGTGGCCATTAGCAAAGTCCTGTCATACTTCAAGGACATAAGCCACTGCAGCCAAGAGTCACAGAAACTCATCAAAGGCACCGCAGGGATCATTGGATCTGGTCCTGCCCTGTGCACAATAAAATCTCACACAAGTGATTGCCCCAGTCCCTGCTTCACCACCCCCCCCCAGGGTCCACCTCCCATTTCCTGGTCTGCTCTACTGTTTAGAAAATTCTTCCTGGTGCTGAGCCAAAATCTGGCTCCTCATAACTTTCCTTTGTTGATCCTCTTGCTTCCTCCTGGAACCCCACAGAATCGTCTTAACTTCTCTCTCATTTATCACCCTTGATGTACTTAAGGCCAGAAGGGCTGCTATAACCTCAAGCTTTGTCTTTTCTGGAGCTAATAAGCCTGGATTTTGCCTCTGCCCTCCCACATGGACTCTCTCATCTCTGTGATTTTTGAAGTATGAGAAATGAAATTTCTTTTGTTTCCAAACCTGAGTTTTTCAAATGTAGGACACCTGTAAAGTGTACATTTTTTACCCTCTTCCATGTTTAAATTCCCATAATATAATAGCTCCCAACTGAACGTGTTCCACCACCTTCTTAACGAAAGCAGGGCACCATTACGGTAGAAAGAACGCAGAACTGGGAGTCTGGAAACCCAGGTTCCTCCCTGACTGTGCCTCTGACTCAGCAGAGAGACCTCAGGTGAGCCGGTTAACAGACCCTGCTTCCCTCGTCTGTCAAATGGGCACCATAATCCCTGTTCATTTCACAGGAGGGTCAAGCGAGCTACTGCACGCGAAGTGCTTTCTAAACCACCCAGGGCTCCGCCAGTTGAGATGTTAGCCAGCAAGGCAGAGGCACCTAGTCCTCCAGTTAGTTCCACTTTTTAAGGACTGCTGGTGCTGTGTGCTGCCCCTAAGAGAGTCAGCTGCTCTTGTGTTTTGCCCAAGTCACTGCACACTCCTTGAGAACAGCACCTGTTTCATCGACCTTCTCATCCCCAGCACCCCACTCAGTGCCTGGTGCAGGGGCGATCATGTTATGCATCTCAACCCCCGACTTTACCATCTTGGCCCGCCCCCTGGGACTTAACTCGGGCTTGTCACTGTCCTGTGACACCAGCTCGGTCTGGTTTTGGCTGGAAACATGGAGTCCCACCACCTTCCCGTACTCTAGGCAGTGACACTTATAACCATAGACTTTGCTTTCACAGTCATGTATTCACCCTTTCCAGAAACATTCAGTATTGACTGAGCCTCTGTTACTTGTCAGCCCTGCCCCAAGCCCACACCTGAGCCTTTCTCAGAGCAACCCTGGTGAGCTCACAGCCCCAGAGACTGGGTTTTCTCTGGTCCTTAGTAGCCTGTGCTAAGGAAGAGAGAGGAGTGTTCTCCCAATCACCCCTCCTCCCTGAGCCTGCTCTGATCCTCTCCAGCTCAGGGAGGTCTTACCCTCCTAGCTTCTGGACTCCTATCACGTGGTTTTCAGAAGTACTCACAAGTCACTCGCTTGCTGGTGACGGCATCAAGTGCACAAGTACTTAGCATAGCACTGGGCACATATAAGGTGCTCAGGAAAGATCTTACGAAAACAGTCTTTTTTTTTTTTTCGGTCCATGCCATGGGTTGGAAACCAACCAAACCTGCTAATAACTTAGGCAGCAGAAGTTCCTCCAAACCATCTAAACAGTTGTCACAAGAGACAAACATGAAGCCACGTCCATGTTACTAGCAAATGTAAACAGACCTTCCTACCACTAATAAAATTACCCATCACCTGACAGTTTTTTGTATGTGTTCTATGCTTTGTGTGTCTTGTGTTCCTAAACAGCATTATCATTTTAATTCGGGTTTACTTGGTAGCACTTTTAGGGTGCATTCATACAGCTCTGGCCCACAACCAAGCCTGGAACTGTCGCCCCCAAGTCTTGAATCCCTCTCGTATCCTTGATCCCGTGAGTCCCTTGGCCTTGTCCCTTTCTTCTCTCCCTCCCTGCCCGGCCTCCACACTCAGCTTTTCTCGTCCTTCAGAGCGAAGCCGGCCCTGTCTTATGCTGTGTGCACAGAGTCTGCACGTCTGCCGTGCTCCTCCATTCTGGCCTTGACATTCCGCCCGCACAAGGAGCATCTCCCAGGAGGGTTAGAGGTGCCTGTCTCCTTGCCCTTCTGCCCCGGCAGTCAGCAGTTCCGGGCCAGCAGGCGGCTAACGTGTCTGTGGTTCTCCTCCCGGCAGGTGAAGAAGACCCGAGTGTGGAAGAGGGCGAGGAGGTGCTGACTCTGCTGTATGACCCGTGTCTGAACTGCTACTTTGATCCCCAGACGGGGAAATACTACGAGCTGGTGTGAGGCCTCCCTCCGGCGCCTAGAATGGCCGCGCCCAGGGGGAGCAGGCGAGCCGAGCTGACCGTGGCGTTGGCCCCACGGTGCGTGTATCGGGCAGGCCCGCAGTATCCAGAGTAACCGAGAGAAATGAAGTTGTTTTGTAAATAACGTTTGATGTTAAGGATACCTACCTTCTCTTTGTAGATGCATGTGATTTTTTTGGCAGTGAAGGAATTAATACAGAGACAAGATTTTAGGACTTTGAATTGGTTTCTTCTTGGTTAGTTCTCATCCTACGTATCATTTTTTATTGCCTATAATCTTACGGAAGCAAATTAAGAGTTATTAATTCAAATGTTTTGCAGTGTTAATCTGTAAATGATGGCTTGATACACAGAAAATGTATTCTTGTTTCAAAGATACCTGGGTACTTTTTATTTTATTACCTATTTGTATTAGAAATAAAGTATGATGGTCAAAGGAATACCTTTTAAACTGCCTCCTTTTATTTGCCTTGCTTGCATTCCTTACCAGAATATTCCAAGATAATATTTACCCTTCCTTAGAGTCTTAGAAAAGGAAACACTGTGAACTGGTCAGACTTTACAATCCCATTTTTTTAGCATTTGCCCCACTGTTCCATTTCATAAAGGTTCATCCAGAGTTTGCCAAAGATCAAAACATTGTTAATCACTTACGCTGCTTAGCACTGTGCTGTGCTTTTTTGGTTTTGGGTTTTGCCTTTTTTTTTTTTTTTTACCAATTATCTCTGAATTCTAATAATATGATCCAAATCTAGCTCCATGGATCCAGATTTAAGAAGTCACCCATTTGAACACCCCACATACCTCACAATTTCTGTGACTAGGCCTGGAGAAACAGAGGAGGCTCACTATAATTCTGCTTGTTGCATCACAAGGAAAAAATCATGCACTTCCTGAGTTTGAGGAGACAGCCTTGAATTGTGTGCCAAGTATATTAATATTGAGCTCAAGGAAGTACTTATATTAGCTGGAATATTTTGTTATTTAATAAAGATTTTTTAATAAAGAAGAGTACCATTGGAAATGAAAAATTACTGGTGTACAATTGGATTTAATGGCAGTACTATAATTTCATTTAATGTTGCTTGATAGAGGAAATAAGAGCTCTTTTTCAGGAAGAGATTTGGGCTCCTGTTCAAAGGATCATACATTATTTAGAACCATATTTCTGTTTGATAAGCTTTTAATCCTATTGTTCATGAAGTATACCTTTGTTAGGAATTTTTCCCCAAGATGTTCATACTTACAAAATGCAAATAAATAACTGAGGTTTTCAGAAAGCATACAGAATGATAAAATAGTTGGGCTATCTTGGCTATGACCTTGAAGATTGGAGTAGGACCTGGAGAGCCTTGAACTTGCTTTAGTCAGTCTCGGGGCCATCCACATAATTTGGGGAGTCAACTAAAGGTCTCTTCTAGTTAAGATGTGGTTATAAATATCAAAAACACCATAAGCTAAAAAATACTTAAGGATACAAGAGTGCCTCATGAGCCCCAAAACAGAATGCTACAAACCTCCATGTGAATTTGAGCTAGGACCTAGAACACTGTGCTGGGATTCTTAAATCGCAAGCAGCAGACACACTTGATCTCAGAATTGAAAGACTTGTTGAACAATTTGACCCCGGGAGGCACAGGAATACAGACAGCTCCAGGGTTCCTATAGCAGAAACTAACAGTTTCTCCCAACAACGGTCACCAAAATGATGGTGCCCCCTTTTTCTGCCTTGAGTCTCTGCTCAAGGAGCAAAGGCTGATAGGCTTGATTGGTCAGTTATCCCCAGGACCACATGGAATGGGAGCGAGATAGTCCCTGAAGAATAAGGCACTGTTAACAAAATGGGGAGGGATGCCAACCAAGCAAAAACAACGGATGTCTACTTTTGGAATCTTAGAAGCATTGTCTCTGCCACTCAACTCTGATTTGTTTGCAAAACGAATTGTCTCTCCCCATAATTCTCAGCTACTCAGTCCACCTGCCAGAACATTCAGCCATTCCACAGCCCATACATCCAACCACAAAGAAATATAAATTCTGAATTTCAGTTCAAAAATCCCAGATGTGTATTCCGGTTGGCCACTTTGGTCCAGTGACCACCAGAACCCTCTCCTGTGGATGGGAAAGGAAGACAATTAAGGAGTTGCTCATGAACCAAGTAGACACCAAAAGGCATCTACCACAAGCTCTTACCCACTTTTTACATTTTATTTGTCTTTTTTTTTTTTAAGGAGTAGCTTCATTTCTGTTGAGACTATTTCCTTTTTTTTTTAAGATTTATTTATTTGAGAGAGAGAGCACGTGCATGAGCAGGGAGGGGCAGAGGGAGAGGGAGAGGAAGAGAATCTCAAGCAGACTCCCTGCTAAGCATGGAGCCTGATGTGGGGCTCGATCCCACAGCCCTGAGATCATGACCTGAGCCAAAATCAAGAGTCAGGTGCTTAACCTACTGAGCACCCAGGTGCCCCTATGTTGAGGCAATTTCTACGGAAGTGTTGAAAAATAAAAACAGATGTGTTTCACACTGCTAATTTTAAACCAAAATTGTATAGCAAGTTAACTTGGAAATTCATTGGGCGATAATGCTTCACTGGTCATCAAATTTTGCTGCATATTAGAATCTCCTGAGAAGTTTATAAATATATTGGTGCCTGGGTTGCACCCCCAAAGAGTCTGATTTGATTAGTCTCAAGTGCAATCTGGGCACTGGAAATTTTTAAAACCTCCCCTGGCAATTCTAATGTGCCATAATGCTTGAGAACCACTGCTAGAGATCAGAATCCAACATTATGAGAGGGCAGAAGATTTGCCTGATGGCAGATGTATCAGAGGGGAAGAGTGGATTAGTTTCCACTTTCAAGAACTTGATTTCTACCTTTCTAATCAAATGTATACTGAATATCATATCTGAAACTGATTATTACAGATGGATCCTGAAAAAATAGTTTGATTCACTATGAAAATACATCTTAAGATAATCTGGTATCAGTTTTGGGAGTCACTCATTTTGTTTCATATAATTTGGGCTGCAACTTGCAAGTGACTTTAAGTCTTCAGTCTCTAAACTATTATTTAGTTATAGAACCCAGGTATTGAGAATTATGGAAAAACAACAGTCAGCTAATACGTGGCATTAGATCAATGATTTAGCTTCCCTGGCGATTATAACTTATCTCTCCAATTAATTTAATTTAATTTTATATTAAAGGAAAATACTGGCATATGCAAAAAACATAGACACTTTTGCATAATAATTTGCCCTATTGTATTTCTCCATATTTTTAGATTAGCTTCATTTAAATCAGTCGTTTCAACCACATCTTGATTTTTTTTTTGAAGTGCAAACTGTGTTTAATAACCAAGAATAGTGCAATCACAGATTGTACAACCTGAAGGACAATTAATTAAAAGAACTAATTTTAAAGTTGCCCTTTGGCTTTAATTAAAGATCTAGTGGATGAAAGTTTCTGGACTGTTTGGGGGGAGAAAAAGACTTGAATGACAGCAAGTACAGTACTAAAACCAGCTTTCATCCAGGTTGCCCCCATGACTCTCAATCTTCAAACACAATGGCCAGAATAATGAGGACTAGAAATCACCTATCCACATAAGGTTGTATTACAGGATTTCTGTTTCATTCATCATTCCTTTTGCACTCCAGAAAAGTTGGTCATGAAGAGAATTCAAGCAAATCCTATCTTCTCTTTTTCTCCCATTATAATAGTTGAGGTAGAATCACCTAATTGGGCCTAGAAAGGCCAATCAAGATTATTTTTTTTAAGACTTTATTTATTTATTCATGAAAGACAGAGAGAGAGAGAGAGAGGCAGAGGAAGAAGCAGGCTCCCAAGGAGCAGGGAGCCCGACGCGGGACTCGATCCCAGGACCCTGGGATCATGACCTGAGCCGAAGGCAGATGCTTAACCATCTGAGCCACCCAGGCGCCCAAGATTATTTTTTTAAACTCAGATTTTATAATGGAGAAAAGTGAGATTCAGATTAGGAAGTTAATCGTCCAAAGGCACTCAGCTGCAGAAGGGAGAATGGAATCCATGACTCCTCACTTCCAACCCAGCTCTGTTCCCACCTGAGGGAATTAAGGTGAGGATTCAAATGACAAAGTCAGGTGGACATCACAGACACTATATAGTGGTCGCCTGAGGACACTAGGGCCCTGCCAGAAGGTTGTGCTCTCTGGCTCCTTCTCTTTTGCTCTGTGCAGATTCTTTCTTCCCTCCATTGTCAGCCTTTATGCCTCAAAGATCAGCATTCCCATGTGTTTCAAAAAACAAATGCCATTCAAGGTTAATAAACTTTATGAGGTTGGGGAAGAAGCCCATGGTCAAACCATGTTGCATTAATACTGGAGAAGCAGAAATGGTCATTTGTCTTAACTGGAAAAGTTCTCAATGGCTTTAATAAATTAACATGCAGAGGGAATGTCTAAGAAGGAGCGGAATATATAGCATTTCTCAAATTTCTTTGTCCTCAGAAGCCTTTTGCAATAGAACATCTCAAGGGGTTTATCCACTCACAGAACCTCCTTTGAGAAATGCTGCAGAAGATCACCTTCCACCTCTCCAGATCTGCAAGCCCTGACCTCCACCACAACTCCCAGAAATGTGTCTTCCCAAGTTGGGGGGTTGGTTGGGAGAGTGTGTATGTGTTGTTTGGTGATGGTTGTGGGTTTTTTGCTTTTTGTTTTGTTTTGCCCAGATATTTCACAGATCCCTGACCACATTATAGATTATTCATCAGACCCACTTTTCATCTAAAACAAGATATGCTGATGCCTAAACTTTCCTTAAGCCAGAAACTTCGGTCACCTAAGATGAAGAAATTTTCTTTCTCATGTTTTAAATTATACAAACTTATAACCGCAGGTAATACAGTTAACTTACGACAAAGGATAAATCTAAGCTAAAGTTCATTCATCATGAATACTGGAGCTTTGTATCTTAATGAATATTTTGGTTCTGGTTTGGGTGGTTTTAATATAATTTAAAATCACATTAAGTCAAAAT